TCTTGCAATCATCAACATGGTAATAACAATGAAATGGTATCTCGATGTTACATGGTGTAATATCTCAAAAGGACAATCAAAAGCTGTTTCATGGAGAATGACAGTCTTGCGCAGAGCTCTTACACTAAGACTTTGATAGGGTGAGCTTGCACACAGTACATGATAGAACTTGCCGCTACATTCCTATTGGCCAACTGAGAAAGCAATTTATAGAAACATAGATAAATGTAACTAACGTGAGCGTACTCATGCTTGAGTTCATTACACAAGAAGCACTACCGGAGAAACCACATAATGAAGGCTCTAGTTACAACATTGTAATGGTATGCAGCTGCGCAGGAATCTAGTCCTCATTTGATTTATGAAGTGACCTGTGAAAGTGGGAAAAAACGTTTCCAGCAGCAAGAGTTATTTTAAATTTTTAATAAGTTTGTCGAGCTCTTCATCACTTCACTGCATATTGAGCTGCAAGTGTTGGGGAGTAAGAAGGTGAACGTTGTGATCTTTGCTGGCATTTCCTACACGGCTGCACAGGAATCTAGTCCTTGGTTTGATTTATGAAGTGACCTGAAAATAGGAAATAACACCTCCACCGGCCAGTGTTATTTTCATAAGAATGTTGAACTCTTCATCTCCTCGCTGCATATTGAGCTGCAAGTGTCGGGGAGTAATAAGGTGCACCTCGTGATCTTTGCAGGCATTTCCTGCGACTGCGAGCTCCCTAACCTGAGCAGACTGCACCAATACACCCCACTCTCCACCTTGTGTGGTCCTCGACCTATGCAGAGCAGACACTTATTCAGCCCCCAGGGACCTGTAGGTTGAACATTGTTGTCATAAATTTTTCTAGATCAAGTCTCCTATTAGAGAAAGAAAATTTTGTTGCTCCAAGATCCTTACTTATTATGATTCGCACATTCACTAGCAGGATTCTATAGGTCAAATAGAATGGAAATAACAGCACTTTTTGCAGTAAGGGAATATAGTGTAAAACCAACAATCTACTTTCAACATAAGGTCCATAGTCGATCGAGTTGATGGAATTCTTGATGGGGCATTGGGCTATAGCAGTCAAAACCTACACCACATTACCAATACCACCAATGGAAATGAGTTTCAAGATCAAGACTTCCCAGACAGGAAATATCCGAGGAAGCCTCAAGCATATTGGCACTTGGTTATAGAACTGTACTCCTAGATATTTGGAGTTACCAAATTAGCTGCCTAAGAAACTTCATTAAACTTCTTAAGAAATGGTATCCCAATTTAGATAATCATCCAAACCAAGAAGAAAAGTTGCATAACTAGGTGACTAACAGTGGGAAGTCACATATGCTATGCTCATAATCAAATATTCTGTCTAAAGGATAGAAATGCATTCGGTTAACAGAAGGAACCACACTAAGACATTCATAGAAAAGGATAGGGCATGAACTGTTAGCCTGGAAGTGGAACTTCGGCGACTTCTACTATCATCGACCAGAACGCAGTGATCTCTTATGCAGAAACAAAACTCAGAAATTAACCACTTGGTCAGAACAAGAGAAAGCAACCCTGATGACTGATAAGGGAAGTAGTACAAACCTGTATGTGAAAGATCAACTCCTTCGATGTACCCCATAAAGCAAAGCATAAACTTTCAGCATTACCACTGTGAGTGTCAACAGAAATATGGGCAGATAATTCTGTAGGGGTATGCAACTGAAACCATGAACCACGACTATTTGTCAAGAGAATGTTTAATTTTGAATTCACAAGGACAAATCTAGAAGCAAGGAGACATGATCTCGCTAGCATGGCCACGGTTTAATGAATAATGGAATTAGTGTTTTGGCCAAAATGTGTCTCTCTGTTGCAATCCTTCAAGTTGAACGTTTGAGTCTCATTTAAAACTGAACTCCATTATGCAACGTGGTCTCTTCAGAAACTTAATGTAACCACGTCTTCTTCTCCCATTTTGCTTTCTTCAGAGCCCACTAAAAGATCCATCATTTTGTCCAACATGAAACATATATCGTACATCTCAGGACTGGATGGACCTCCAACAGTAAATTCATGGATTATACCATTCACTTCAATTGAACTACAACCGGGTGTCTTTTTTATGCCGAGATCTTCCATTTTACTTCTTACCCTTGCAACATCTGCCCATCTGTTAGCAGATGCATAGGTATTGGCAAGAAGAGTATGGATGCTAGAATCATTAAATTCCATTTTCACAAGCCGTTTGGCCATCCGTTCTCCTATGTTTATGTTACTGTGAAGTCTGCAAGCACTAAGCAGAGCCCCATAAAGTGGAATTGCAATTTCATCATTTTCATTTGGAACCTTTTCTATTAATTTCTCTGCTTCATCTAATAATCCGACACGACCAAGGAGATCAATCATACACCCATAGTGCTCTACCTTCGGCTCAATCCCATAAGTTTCTGTCATTAAGCTAAACAGTCGGCGACCTTCCTTAACTAATCCTCCATGGCTACACGCACTCAAAACACCAATAAATGTTACGTCATCTGGTTTGAATCCATGATCTCTCATTTCTATGAACAGATTCAATGCTTCACCCGTTCTGCCATTCATGGCGAGCCCACATATGATAGCCGTCCAAGAGGCTGTGTCATGAATCCTTAACCTATAGAAGATGTCCAAGGCTTTGTCTATACATCCACATTTAGCATACATGTCGATTAGAGCAGTTCCAACAACAGCATCTAGCTGTATTCCGTGTTCATCTATGTATCTGTGAATCCATTTCCCTTGTTCTAGAGCTCCACATTGAGCACAACCAGTGAGCAGAGCAACGGTAGTAAACTTATCAGGTTTAATCCCCCTAACTTGCAGCTCTTGAAACAAATTGATCGCCTCATCAAAGCGATTGAATTGCACATAGCCATTGATCATAGCCGTCCACAGGACAATATCCTTAACTGGACTCCTATCAAATAACTCTCTAGCTTCATCAAGCTGACCGCAGTTCACATACCCAGAAATCATGCTCGTCCAACAGATAACATTCTTAGTTGGCATCTCATCAAATATTTTGCGAGCCACGTCTAAATGGCCACATTTCGAATACATATCCAATAAGGCATTGCCAATAATCGACGTGCATATAAGCTCCTTATTTACATAATCATGAATATCCATGCCAAGTTCCAATGACTTCAATGCCGTGCAAGCTGACAGCGTGCTCACAACAGTAGCTTCGTCCGGCCTCGCGTTGCTCTCGACCAGCATTCTCTCAAAAATACCAACAGCATCATCAAACCTCCGACACCTAACATACCCAGAAATCACCACGTTCCAAGAAACAACGTCTCTCTCAGGCATTTCATCAAACACCCGTTCCATGCTCGCGGTCCTGCCAAACTCTGCATACATATCCATGAGCGAGTTACAGACATACGCATCGAACTCAAGCCCAGATTTCACCACATACCCATGAACCTTTTCGCCTTCATCTACGGCTCCCAAACGCCCAATGGCCTTCAAGACATACGGGTACGTAAAATTATCAGGGGACACCCCACGTTCCCTCAGCTTACGGAAGACCGACACAGCTTTTCCCAACTCACCCCTCTTCGCCAACGCCTTGATAACTACGTTGTACACGAACAAGCTCGGGTCTATCGCGTGGCCGAGCACTCTCTCCGCGTGACGCAGGTCCCCGCGACAAGGGTCGGCGCAGAAGGCCACCAGCTTGTTGAGGACGTTCTCGTGCTGCTCGAGCCCGGCCCGGAAGACCCGGGCGTGGATTTGCTTGAGCTGGCGCAGGGATTTGCAGCTCTTGAGGTGCGAGACGAACGATGTCGGGGTCGGAGAAACGGAGTCGGAGGAGGAGCTGAGGAAGCGCCGTGAACGGACGCGGCGGGGCGTCGACGGAAGGAGCGGGGCTCTGAGTCGAGCGAACATGTGCGAGGCTCGAGATGGAGGAGGGGCATAAAGCACTAAAACATATACATTATATTTATAAATTAAACAAAAAAAATAAAAAAAAATATTGAGGTTTTAGCCCTTAAATTTCAATTTAGTGCGACTATGGTCTCTTATTCTTATTCCCATTGAATTTATTTTGGTCTGTCTTGCTCTAACTTTCAACTTACTTTTAGATTTTTGCTCTGCCTCTTAGCAGAATCGTTTGCTGAAAGCGGAACCTATATTTGGCGCGATGGAGTATCATAGATCAAAATAAGCTTAAAATCACAAAATTGGAGAGATGGCGACATGACCTACATAAGTTACTCGACTTCAGAATCATGGATGTGGATACTATATGTTCTCTTTAATGCTTCGGATAGTTTGATTGCCATCTCGGTCGGTACGACTCAATTAGAATTCAATCGTGTGGCGGTCGGAAAAGAGGGGTCGAGATCTCTCTGTATTTCGCAATTTCGGCGAAAGAGAAAATCCAAATGAAAAAACAAGGAAAACCACAAAAGAAAAAGGGTTAATATTATGAAAAACTCCAAATCGGTACACTTGTGATAAATTTATCATAAACCAATTTTTTGATCACGAAAAATCCAAAAGTGGTACACACCCTTACCAAATTTACCCCTAATTAATTTTTGGACAACCAAATATCTCAAATTGGTACAGTCATGACAAATTTACCCTCCGTCAGTTGTCGTTAAATTAGATTAATACACATGTGATAAACGGGTGGCAAAATCCCAAACCGGTACGTCCGTCAACTGTTACGTGTCATCCAACGCAACAATTTGATAGTAAAATTTATCAGGAATCAGTGGAGGGTAAACTTGTCACGGATGTACCGATTTAAGGTCTTTCGCGGTATTAATCCGAAGGAAAATCGCAGCAAACGAAAAATAAACAAATAGCGGGGGGAAAATCGCCGGTTGCAAAAAAGGTCCAAAATGACGTCGATTATGGGATTTTGACGATGTTGCTTGCATCGCAGCTTCACGTGGGACGACCGACTGATGCAAGTCAAGAGTTGTCCCCCTCTGTCTATCTCTCTCCCTCTCCCTCTCTCTCTCTCGAACCCTCCTCCGACTCCCATCTCGTCTCGCCCGACACAGATCCCGTCCGATCTCGGGCTCCGATCTCCCTCCCCAAGATCCCACCAGGTTCTCGCTCTCTCGATCTCCTCGTTCCAGGGTAGCTCTTTGAATTCCGTTCTCGTTGCCGAATTCGCATCTGGGTCCGTCTCCGTCCGGCAAGCGTCGCGCTCGCTTCCGACGACAGATCGCGGCTCTGTTCTCGGTAATGCGAGCCGTTTCCAACTGACCCAGTTGGCTTTCTTGAGCACCCGCCCGCGCGTCAGGTATCTGTTGAAAGTCCCCAATTAGATTTCCTTTTGTTAGGCGCCTTGCTTTGCCGAATTGGGGGCTCGATTAGGAGCCGCGCTTGGCGATATACGATGTCTTCGCTCCGATTAGATTCCCAGAAGCCGTACTTCGCCACGACCGGACTCGTGGTGGGGTACGCTCTCTCCTCGAGCTTGCTCGCCGTGATAAACAAGTACGCCATCACCAAGTTCAACTACCCTGGCCTCTTGACCGCACTGCAGTACCTGACTTCTGCTTTGGGCGTCTGGGTGCTGGGGAAGCTCGGGTTTCTGCACCACGACCCTTTCGTCGTCGAAACTGCCAAGAAGTTCTTGCCTGCTGCCCTCGTGTTCTATCTCGCGATATTCACGAACACGAACCTCTTGCGCCATGCCAATGTGGACACGTTTATCGTTTTCCGGTCCTTGACGCCCCTTCTGGTTGCCTTGGCCGATACCGCATTCAGGAAACAGCCGTGCCCGTCGAAGTTAACATTTGCATCGCTAGTCATTATCCTAGGTGGTGCTGTTGGGTACGTGGCCACCGACTCGGCTTTCACATTGACTGCGTATTCGTGGGCATTTGCTTATTTGATTACGATCACGACCGAGATGGTGTACATAAAGCACATGGTCATGAATCTTGGATTGAACACTTGGGGTTTTGTGTTGTACAACAATTTGCTATCGTTGATGATGGCTCCGGTCTTCTGGATTCTCACAGGAGAGTACGGTGACGTTTTCGCTGCTTTGGGAGCCAATGCAGGGAACTGGTTTGAATATGATGCATTCTTTGCTGTCTCTTTGTCATGTGTATTTGGTTTGCTTATCAGCTTCTTTGGTTTTGCCGCGAGAAAGGCAATCTCCGCGACAGCATTTACTGTGACTGGGGTTGTGAACAAGTTTCTTACGGTCGTCATCAATGTGCTGATCTGGGAGAAACATGCGAGTCCATTTGGTTTAGTTTGTCTATGCATTACTATTGTTGGAGGAGTCACGTACCAGCAGTCGGTCAGTGGAACGAGCAATACTACAGCTCCGCGTGAGTCTACTATGCCTAAGCAGGTGGACAGCGAGAATGAAGGCGATGATTTTGTAGAGGATAGGCAGGGAAGGGTGACTGGTAAACTTGCTTTATGAGTTACATTGTATTGCCTCTTTGATTGTTCTAGATGGTGAATAGAATAGTTGATGCGCCATCTTTAGCATAAAGCTATTTGAAATTTGAGGCCTTTAGTTTGTGAAATGTTTTGCGTACTATTGTGATTCTGTTGTCTCTTTTTAGAGAATATTGATGTTCTTATGGATTATGCTACACGTTGTTCAATTGCTTTTGCAAGTAAATCGTATGTCATTGGATGCTTCTTCTACTACTTTTCCGGCATTCTTGCATGTTTTGCATATAAAGCACCTGGCAATGTGGCTGTTTTACTAGTTTATCGTTTGGTGAGAGTCTAAGTTTAACCACAGACTGAAGGTTTGCATCTTTCGACATTTACTGTCTCTTATATCTAGCTACTACCTTAAGAGTTGTGCAGAATGAACTTGTTAAAGAAGCGACGGGCCTTATACAATGGCTGTATAAATGGCTTGTCTGCTGACAGCCGCCTCCGAACTTTTTTCGGTCACCCTTGGCTGCAGTATCCAGTAGGAGCATTGCTGGTTTATCCTTTGTAGACCTAGTCCTATATCCAATGAACTGAACTTGCAGAGATCTTCAATCTGCTAAGTCTTGTTCTTCTGGATTAACAACCGGTTGTTCCTTGCGCATCAAGTAGTCGACCATTCTGGTTGTCTCGTCGATTTTTGACTGTCTGAATGAAACCCAAAGCCTCAAGAATTATGTTCCGGAGCTATATCCGGTGTCGATACAACCCTCACAACCGTTTCGCATTACCTTTGGAAAACTTCGTCCCTGCATCAACTCATTTCTTCTCATTGTAGTTCTCTGACATGTGGAGGGAGTGTTGATTAAGGAAGAAAGCCAGGTTCAAAGACAATGTACTGGTTTTGGGCTCCGGTTTTGGAATCCAAGAAGCCTGTGTCTTTTAGGAAGGTACAGTGAAGTGAGTGTATTAGGGCCCAGTAAAATAGCAGACATCGTCAATGAACTTAGTTATCAAGGAATTAGGCCACAAGCCCTGATTAATTAAGGCTTAATTAAGTGTGCTTTGAGTTCGAACTGCAAAGGTGCCCTACTCCGTTTATATTTCCGAGAAATTCTATCGCGGGTCGAAGCGAACAATCGCCTCGGAACAGGAAGAATGAGAGATGCTACATGCCAGATTCCGAGCGATCGAGTGTTATATATCGCGATGCGACGAGGAAGTATCATCTGTATTGAGAGTAGTTGATGGTTTTTCCGCATGTGTTGTCTTGACTTTTGAGGATGAATAGCATCATCTATCTGTATCTACACCTTTTGTTTAGGATAGGTATACTAGACGACTTAACGAGGTGGGATGGATGCGCAGCGAGCAACATGGTATCACTGTGTGAGAGTGAGCATTAAGGACGGGGGAAAATCGTCAAAAATGTCCTAAACTTATAATATAACAACCAATTCAGCCTTAAACTTTTAAATTGTGCTAATTTAAACCTAAACATTTTAACGATTTGCCAATTAATTCTTCTGATCAATTTTGATTGGAATCGATAATGTGGATGGTGGTCGTGCTACGTGACATGCTCGATACTGATATAGATAATTTTTGCAAGTTTTGTTAAATTTACTGAAATATTTATTTGATTTTTTTTATGTTTTCTTTTCTTTTCTTCTTCTTTTTATTTTTTCTTTTTACACATGGCCTGGGCCCCAGACGAGGATTGCAGTTGCCGGAGTTACTCGACCACAACAAACAGTATTCGACAATCCTTCAATCACCGATGCCGGCGGCGCCCCCATCCCTCCAACTCGTCGCCACCTACCGCCGCCACTATTTCTCCGGCGAACCGGGCGTTCCATCCCCACACGATCTCACTGTTTTCTCCAAATTTAGCAGTTGCCATCCACATGAATCTTGCACTATTTCGCTTTCCCTCCCACCTACTCCAGATTTGGTCCCCGAATGATTGTGCTCGAGCCGAGTTAGGTGGAATTCACTACCTCGACAGTTCACATGTACCACAGTCCTTGCTGATTCGCTATATGTGCAATCTACACTATCATCTGCCCTTTGCCGATTGGTATTCATTCAGTACTAGTGATCCCTCTTCCGAGCTCCACTGATCCGATCTGGCCGGACGCGGGCGGTCCTCGCGAGGAACAGGAGACTATCGAGGAATCACCGCTTCGTTCCGGCCTCGCCTGTGCAAACCGCGTGCCAAGATGTGAAATTCCAATGGCGTCACCCGACTTGGCTGGCCCTATGTAGATTGCTAGCGATGCTGTACACGAACGGTTCGCACGATAGAGGTGAGCGGTTCCAGATTCCGTACAGGTTTCACTTGGACCCTGTCACGGGTTCCAGAATCTACCCAGGTTCCACATGTATTATTAATTGGACAATTACAGTTAGATATCACCTTTTATAGCCACCGGTTGTTACTACAATCCACTCATCACAACTTGTGTTTAAAAAAACGATAAATATGAAATATTAACAAAATAAAAGTCTCAGCCATAAAATAGAAACTCAGATTAGTGGTTCAAAATTATACACTGATCATCGGACGCCATGGAATACTGCGGGATCACGCGAAGACATAGACTAAGAAAATTACAAAAACTTGTCACAAGTTATAAGTTCCAGGGTCTACCTACTTAGAATCCAGAATCTACCCGTCGAAACGAGTTCCTCAATTTTGGGAACCCGAAACCTACTCTGCATATTTTGGAACCTGAAACCGACAGGTTCTCACTGGTCTGGTACCCGGAACCATGCTCACCCCTATCGCACGACACGATGCGAAACGCGAATCACGGGAGAAAACCCAAGAACACGACACGGCACGCCCAAGCTCCTTATGTTTCGTGTGAATCGGACGCGAGTAGAGATCGAGATGCTTCAGACCGACCCGATCCCGCGCCAATTACAAACACGATTACGACATGCCCCAGAACGGACCGATGGGCCAGATAATCACGGAGGAGCAATATAACGTGATAATGTCCGCTGATAGAACGGTGGTGGTCACGCATCGGAGACGAGTTGTCTGTCCCCCAAAACACACATGCTCTCTCTTTGGGAAATGCTGGTCCCCATTCTCCACCGCACATAAAAATTATAAAAGCCCCTCAATTCTTTTCTCTCTTCTCTTTTCTCCCCCCAAGAAAACAGCAATGATTATAAAAATCACCCCCAAACATGACACGTGTCGAAATCCCATTTATCCATTCGAATCACTCGGGGCCTCAATTGGTCAATAACATGTGTAGTAATAAAAGAATCGTGCCCTTTTGCCCTTGTACGTTCGAATTTCTTGGGGGGGCCAGTCCAAGGGATGGTCCCAAATTCCATGCAAATTTTAACTTAATGGACCACATCACGTTCACATGCTTCTTCACGAATTTTTCTTTCCTTCTTCGGCGCATCGCTGGAATTTGGTCCCTCAAATAATGGGCGATTTTCGCGAAAGATAAGCCGTTTTTACGTCTCTGAATCGCTCAAATTGGCGAACCCGTTTCCGCCCCTTTTTACTTAGCTTCCGGCATCTCGAATATGTGAGCTGTACCACATAAGCGTACGGCCGGTCTCGCCGGAGGCCGGACCCTTGTGTATCGATGCTCCCAATTGATTTCTAATAGCAGGTGCGCACGCGTGCGGCCAAGCAGTTCTCGATTATGTTATAGTTTCGTGAGAGCGATATTCTTTTATTTTCCAAAAGGAAGACAACAAGCATATGAAACAATCGAGAATTTGGTAAGTGCAAAGCCCCCGAGAACCGAGTCGTCTAGGGTTTCCAACATGCCCTGATTTCCACGGTCCTCTTGTGGATTGAGATTAGTCATCTCTAATTATGTACCCAAATTAATATAAACACTAAAAATTTACTTCTTCCGAAGCGGTCCAAGATCGAGAAAACCCTAATCACCCTATCATGCAAATCCACGTTTCGACCCGTAAATATTTAACTAACCAATTAACCAATTTTATCTTTTGGATTCACATACAGCTCTCTCACACTGCGAGAATAAATAATTTTTCTGTTCTTTTTTTTTTAATTTTTAAAATGCGATTAAGATTAAAATTTGTTTATGTCTTCCTAAATCGCAGGATGAGAGAGAGAGAGAGAGAGAGAGAGAGAGAGAGAGAGAGAGAGAGAGAGAGAGGGGGGTTCGGTTTTCGATAACCTAAAAAATTAGGGCAAGACATGTGCATGCAAATTGCAATATACTTAAGAAAGGGTTTTGCATGGATCGTGTAACGCCTCGATATTTTTATACTTTATTATATGCTTCGAAACTTTTGAGAAAATATAATATATGTTATTTTTGCCTTAACGGCGCAGATACACACGATAGAGAATCTCTGCATCTTATAAGTTTAATGAGATGCATCTTATAAGTTTAATGAGAGACATAATACACACTTGTTCTCTAATTCCGTAAACAACGCAATTTGCACAAAACCAAGGTTAGAAAATCACCGTCGAAGCCCAAGGATTTCCCCTTTTTTTACCACAAGAAAACTTGCGTTACAAGCGATTAGTAAAATTTCGGATCCGTGAAATGCTCGGTTAATCTCGTGGACCCTTTTGAGCTCGGTAAATGGTGAGACGCGAATCGAAGCCCGTCGTGAATGACTTGGAAATCGAGATTCTTTTGGTCTTGGGTTATTCTCACCCCAAAAGCTAGCTCAAATGATGATGATTTCCCCTACATTTGTAAGCTGATCACCAGTTCTTTCCATAACCGATGTGGACTAAACCCTAACAATCTCTACTCCCCCCTCACATCGGGCTTAGGTCAGAACCGCAACAACCCTCTCTATGTGATTGGAGGGTCCAGATTTGTTGGTAGCCTATGTTCTTATACTGGTGTTGGGTGATCTTAGGCCTCTCACATCCCAAAAGCTAATTTAATCGATCTTCAGTCTCTTCTACAACCAAAGTAAGATAAACCCCAATAGTCACTTAGCCGTCTATTGAGGGAAAGGGGTCGGTATGGGATCACCTCGGCTGTGTGGATATAGACTAGGCTACAAGGAGCGGGAGTACGAAATTATGGACCGAGACAACATTAAGGAACGAGGAAGCTTGACTAAGAAAAGAAGTCAAAGGAACGAAGCTGCTTCTATAATAGCACCATTGTATAAGAGGGCGAATGCTTTTTTTGGAAAAGTCTCTGTCTTGCGAATGAGATGCCATTTTTATTTTTTTTGGCCTTTCCAATTTCTATTGAGAGAGAGGGGGCTTCAACCTTCTTCGCAAGAGCCATACAAGGCGGTTCACGTACGGTTCGGGAGCCGACCCCCGGCACGGATAGGAATCAAACCCTCGACTTTAAGGGTAATCCAAACTGGTCAGGCGACACCGGCTATACTCATCGACGGTGCCGGTGTCAGTGTTACTCCGACGGACCTCTCCGGCTAGTCGCCCTCGAAGGAGGACCCTTTCAATTTGCACCTCATTCGTTTTAAGTTGGATCTAACCTTTGACCTCGCGGTCTCCTTGACCCCCCACAATTATTCTTGCAACCATCTCGGGGACACACTCGCACTCGTAAACGCCACTCAATGTCACAGGCTGAATATTGTTTGACCAACTTCCCCCGTGTACTAGAACTGGGTCAACAGGAAAAAGTATCCGAAAATTCTCGTCAGGAAATTTACAATTCCCACCTACGAATCTTCACGAATTCCAAGTTTTATCAATTCATCGTTGCAATCTAGTCCCTGGATTTTCGGATTCTGTTAATTTATAACCCTGCTAGTGTTTAAGCGGTCAACGGTTGAGCGAGCTGTTCTTTAAATCTTAGGGTACACTCATGCTCTGACGCTCAACTGAACCCTCAACGTCTCACAAAAGGACCACAACTTCCAGCCCTAATAAAATAATTCACATAGTACCCCCCCTTGCCTGTATTTATTGAGAAAGTTCTCAGTGAACCCTAATACATGCACTTAAATATATATATCTTTAGATCTGTCCACGACCCACATCATTCTCAATGGTTCGGATTCGATTTCATTACGTGCACTATGCTCGTGTAATCGTTTCTCGTGCTTATTGGATTTGCCTCGGCTATCTCGTAGCGTGTATTTGTCAGATGGGTTTGCTTCGGTTTACTCAAACAGAGACCGCTGACATAATACGATCCGATCACCGATAGATTTTGAAAATGCTATAGCCGGATATTAATCTGGGTGAGTCTGTCCTCAATCCCACAAAAAGGTATACATACAGTTCGCCAATCTCAACTTAGAAAGTCCCGCGAGTGATCATCCATCGCGAGATCTGGTTACGCGCGAGATGTGAGCCCTCGGCTCTGATCCTCGGCAGTGGATCATAACCCCCCTGATCTTTATCTTTATTAACTCCGCCAAAATTCCTCGATCAGTTCCCAGCTCGATCATTATTCGAAGCTAAATAATTCACCCGCCAACTTGCGCAACTCAGTATCAAATTTAATCACCCTTTTGTCCGGACTGATCTTATTTTAATCAAGATCCTTCCCTCCTTTTCTTTATGTTAATCGCACCTGATGTGCGTAGATTAATTCATCAACAACGACACCTGTTGTTTCGCTCCCGCGACACACGTCTCATTTGATGGAATATTCCCATCACGATGGCATTGCCACTCCACCTAATGGCATCACCTAACACATACCTCCCCATTTAAATCTTCATGCAAAAATAAAAATAAAGAATTTACCTTATTATAAATTTATTCTTTCCAAACTGTAGATATATATATATATATATAATTTGATAAATTTTTATGAAAAATGAAGAAAAGGATGATATTAAGTTGAAGTAAGGAGGAGGAGGAGGAGGAGATGGGTTAGGGTGGGTGACAGTGTGAATATTCCCTTGAAGTCCCAAGTTGACTGCTACAAATCTCAAGAAGCTTATTAGTGATGGAAATAGCAGCAAAGCAACAATAATTTCTCTCGGGAATGAATAAAGTTCTTGCAGGTATGGACGTATAATATATATAATATATATAGATTAATATCACGAAAAATCCATAACCGGTACATTCGTGACAAATTTACCCTCTGTTAATTTCCGTTAAATTTCAATGCAAAATTTCTGAGTCGGATAACACGTGGCAGACGGGTATACCGGTTTGAGGTTTTACCATCCATTTATCACAGTTTTACCAATTTGTGATTTTTCGTGGTATTAATCCAATTTAACGGAGGGCAAATTTGTCACAGGTGTATCGATTGGGGATTTTTCGTGATATTAATCCATAATAATATATTCATATATATATTGTGTAAATGTATTTTAATTTTTGGGATATGGTATTCAAATTGAGAGCTGAAGAGGCTTGAAATCTCGTTGGTTGGTTTAATTAGTTTGTGGGTTCGATCCAAAAAAAAATGAATGGAAATCTCGAATCATCGAAAGTTACGTGCGAAGGGCATGCAATTGCAAGCTGTTAAAGTGTCATTTTCGGGTCATTTTAGTGTTCTCCTATCCACGTTTGGTTCCCCGTTTCAATCTCCCCCAAAAGAGAAATTGACAAGCAATTATTTCTTCCTCTTTTTTTTTTAATATTATTCCATTTGACTAACGGATGTGTTGGATGAGCAAAAAGGATAGGGAGGGGCGATCGGGGCCGGCAATCCCATCCGTGCATTACCATAAGGTTCCTATTCGTATTACAGAATGCTCGATTTGAATCATAATTCCTTTAGTACCACCGCCACCTGCAGCAGCTCGAAGATTCGAAGCTAGTGAGCTCGTCACTGCAGCCCCGCCAAGATTCTAGCGATGATCGGGAAGTCTTTCCGTACGAGATATGCTGAGGGTTAAGCGAAGCGGCACGAGCCATTTAGAGATTCGCTCGTGACGTCAATTGAATTCGGGTGAAATACGGATGGACCCCGTTTACTTTAACAGTTGGATCAGCACTTGCCAAAAGATCATTAGACTTGTGGTAAAAAGGGACTTAGAAATTTTGCAATATTTCTCTATAATTTGTGGCGTAGGAGGTTCCACAGAAGAGTCCGAAACCCTAGATGGTAACTCCCTCTGTACCGTCAGCTTCCGTTGTTGGGTACAATCTGGAAGCAGTGTCGTGTTGTGATCGAGAACACGTCCGTTTGCCTGCAAGAGTATATGTCAAAAAACACACGCACCCAAAAAAAGAAAAAAAAGATTTGCATTGTTAATTGACAGAAAATATCAATTTAAATAATTATTACACATCAGACGAGGACTAAAAGAATCTAGCTCATTTGGATAAAAAAGGACTTCTTTTTTTTTAACTCAAATTTGGATTTTTAACCGCCCCCGTCCACCTCCCCTCGCTACCCTGTGGCAATCTCCGCCGAGTCGCCGCCGCTACCGGCTCGCCAGCTTGTCGTCGTCCACGACCGTGGGCCCACCTTTGGGCGTGGAACTATCGAGCCGCCATGATTGTCGAGCCCATTGAGAGCTCGATGCCTCATGGAGGGAGATTCACCGGGCTTGAGTTCAGTCCTGCCGAGAATGAGAGAAGAGAGAATGAAGAGAGAACGAAGGTCATTGTGGCGATAGTTAATGGCAGGCGCACAATAACAGATACGAGGGTTACATGGAGCAATCGACCAATCTTATTATCCACGTGATATCATCTAACACTTTTCTTGCGTCCAAATTTCGAAATACATAATTCAAACGAGGCATGATTGTCAAGTGGGAAAATTGTAAAAAAAAGCGTTAAACTTACTGTACTGCGGTCAATTTGCGTCAATTTAGTTTTGAACCTTTTGACGATCTGTCAATTTAATCCTAAACTTTTCAATTGTGTTGGTTTAGTCCTAAACCTTTTAACGATTTCTCAATGTAATCGTTCTAGCCAATTATCCAATTGGCAAGTTTTAAAAATCTTTAGGATTAAATTAACACAATTGAAAAAGTTATCGTAAGAAAATATTTAGGATTAAAGTGACGGTTTAAAATTAAATTTGGCTGCGGTACGATAAGTCCCACGATTTTTTGGACAATCATCCCGTTTTCGAGCAGAAGGCTACTTCGAGACGGACACTCTCACTAAAAGGCGGATAGCGAAAAAGGAAAAAGAAAAAGGGAAAGAAAGGGAAAGAAAGAAAGAAAAAAAGTCGAGTAGAAAAGGAAAAGAGAGAGGAAAAAGAGGAGGGCGGGAGGGGCATCGCAATCAAATAATGTAGTAAAAAAAACAGAAAGAAAGAAAAGAAAAGAAAAGAAAAGAGAAAAAAATAAAATAAAGGCAAAAGCACTATTATTATTCATCGTAAAAAAAAAAGAAAAAGAAAAACCAAGATTAACAAAAAAAAAAGAAGAAGAAAATTTACTTTTTCCTCGGTCCTACTCCAACGTTGTATATGTCACCCTCCTCTCCTCTCTCTGCCTCTCTCTAACCCCCGGCATGCCCGTCTCCTCCTCCTCCTCCTCCTAAACCCACTTCACTCCCACTCCCCCCCGTTGGAAAAGTCAAATCCCATGGGCCCCTTCGACTCCTCCGCCGCCGCCGCCGCCGCCGCCGCGAGCAGCAGCTCCTCCTCGTCGTCGTCGCCGTCCGGGGGGTCGTCCTCCGCCCCCAAGCACCCGCCGGATCTGGATGGCCTCCTCGCCGGCGCCGGCTACAAGGTCCGCTCCTCGGAGCTCCACCACGTGGCGCAGCGGCTGGAGCGCCTGGAGACGGCCATGGTCAACTCCGCCTCCCACATCCCCCACCTCGCCTCCGACGCCGTCCACTACAACCCTTCCGATCTCGTCTCCTGGCTCGACTTCATTCTCTCCGAGCTCCCCAGCTCCTCCTCCCCCCTCCCCAGCTCCGGCTTCCCCGACCCGCCGTACCCGACGGCGTCCCTCCTCGGCTGCGGGTGGTTGGACCTCCCCTCCTGCGCGCCGCACCCGCACCCGCACCCGCACCAGCACCACCACCACCAGAGCGTCCTCGTCGTCCCCCAGCAGCAGCCGCAGCAGCAGCAGCAGCTGACGGTCGTGACGGCGCTGGAGGAGGACTCCGGCATCCAGCTGGTCCACGCGCTGATGACGTGCGCCGAGTCCGTCGAGCGCGGCGACTCCTCGTTGGCCGCCTCCCTGGTCGAGGAGATGCAGGCCCTGCTCGCGCGCGTCAACACCTCGTGCGGCATCGGGAAGGTCGCCGGCTACTTCATCGACGCCCTCAGCCGCCGGCTCCTCGGCCTCGGCTCGGCGGCCCCCGCCGCCGCCTCGGCTTACGGGAACGAGGCGCTGCTGTACCACCACTTCTACGAGGCCTGCCCGTACCTCAAGTTCGCCCACTTCACGGCCAACCAGGCCATCCTCGAGGCCTTCGACGGCCACGACTGCGTCCACGTCATCGACTTCAACCTCATGCACGGCCTGCAGTGGCCGGCCCTGATCCAGGCCCTCGCCCTCCGCGCCGGCGGCCCGCCGATGCTCCGGCTGACCGGCATTGGCCCGCCCTCCCCCGACGGCCGCGACACCCTCCGGGAGATCGGGCTCCGCCTCATGGAGCTGGCCCGGTCGGTCAACGTCCGCTTCGCCTTCCGCGGCGTCGCGGCGTCGCGGCTCGAGGACGTGAAGCCGTGGATGCTCCAGGTGAGGCCCGACGAGGAGGCGGTGGCGGTCAATTCGATCCTGCAGCTCCACAAGCTCCTCGGATCCGACCCGCCCCGGGAGCCCCCGATCGGGTCGGTCCTGCCCTGGATCCGGGGCCTGAACCCGAAGATAATGACCGTGGTGGAGCAGGAGGCGAGCCACAACCAACCCGGGTTCCTGGACCGGTTCACCGAGGCGCTGTACTACTACTCGACCCTGTTCGACTCGCTCGAGGCGGCTTGCCCGGTCCAGCCGGACAAGGCCCTCGCCGAGCTGTACCTGCAGCGGGAGATATGCGACGTCGTGGGCCGCGAGGGGGCGGCCCGGGTCGAGCGCCACGAGCCGCTGGACAAGTGGAGGGCCCGGCTCGGTCGAGCCGGGTTCCGGCCGCTGCACCTCGGGTCCAACGCGTTCAAGCAGGCCAGCATGCTGCTCACCCTGTTCTCCGCCGAGGGCTACAGCGTGGAGGAGGTCGACGGTTGCCTGACCCTCGGCTGGCACAGCCGGCCGCTCATCGCCGCTTCGGCTTGGCAAGCCGCGCCTAGTGTAGTGAACTCGCCGCCGCCGCCGCCACCGCCACCTGGTGTTGTTATTAACCACGATGACAGTAATAATCAGCTGTAAAATCTCCCCCCCTCCCCCCTTTTTTTTTTTTTTAACTTCATATTTCTTTCTTTGGGATTTTCACCTTATATTTGTTAGCAACGAGGCAAAAATTTTAGTTCAAGAGGCACCTAATTCCTCCTCTTTCTTTCTAAACATTGGGTCATTTCAATCTACATCTAATCTTAGCAACCACCACGGTGTTAAATGATCGCTTGGCCGCCTCTTTTCAGGTCACGCCACATGCCGATGTTATCGAACAAAATCACGTCGATAAGTCCCAATGACATATAGTGTGTTCGGGTTCGATTTCGCCATTTCAAGCCGTTTATATTCAAATGACAAATTTTGTACTGTCGAAACTTACTAATGTTTTAGTAATATAATTGATGGTTTATAGGTACATGCTTTCTTACCAATACAAAAATTAGCTACCTGAAATGGGAAGGCTATTGCTAAAATAGATAATTAGGGTTTGCATTTTTATACGGAAGCTACTGAAGATAATGAAAAAGTTAGTCATGGTAATTTCTATAGACGGAAACTTACCATTACATATGAAAGACATACTAAGCAAAAAGAATGTTAGAATGTTTAATCTAAAAACTTAAACTGCATCTAAACTCCATAATCAAGCGACGTGTGATATTTCAGAACAATTTCTCATATGCAAGTTGAATTAGGAATGACTAGCGTAATTTGACGAACATGGTGAATACAGATGTGAAATAAATTGGACAGCTCTGATATCGAGATAAGATGTATGCGAACGAAAGAATTGTATAATTTTGTAATATGAAAAAACTTCCTGGTATCTTTCAATAAAGAAGAATTTCATAATTTTTTATCAGCCGAAAGTTACTTTTCTTGTTCGAAACTTTACCGAATCTTTTCCTTAAGATACTAGTTAGTCGTAATCAATATATTAAGTGATTATATTAAGTAACTTTTTTCAAAACTGGTGGCGGCTTTTTATGTTAAACAAGTAAGTAATACCAATAATATTTTCACGTGACCGGTAACTTCATTAAATTTACAATATTTCCATTGACTTGTCTAAACTTCTCTAGGAAATTTTAAAAACATTTCGAAAATTTTGAGAACTTATCTAGTAACGTCCCAATAGAATTTCTAACAACAGGGAGTAATCAATTGAAATCTAACATTCTCTTTCGGTTTGCACCCACAGAAAAAAAAAAAACACGATGATGAGGCCGACAATATTATACCGGTGAAAATCTGTTTGCCACAAAACCTATTGATTATTGACTATGATCTTATCTTTAGGCATAATAAAATACTAATATATATATTTAAGGGATAAGTGTATTGAAAGTTCTAAAACTTGTCACGAAAGTGTAATCGAGTTTTAAAACTTTTGTAAAGCGCAATTAAGTCCTAAAACTTATCGCAAAAGTGCAATTAAATCCTAAAATGTTCAAAAAGTGTAATTAAGTCCTAAAACTAAAGTCCTTCCGTTAATTACACTTTTTGAAAGTTTTAGGACTCGATTGCACTTTCACGATAAGTTTTAGAATTTAATTTCACTTTCGTAATAAGTTTTAGGACTTGATTGCACTTTTTGAAAGTTTTAGGGCTTGATTGCACTTTTTGGAAGTTTTAAGACTTAATTGAACTTTCGTGATAAGTTTTAGGACTTCCAGTGCACTTATTACTATATTTAAATAACTAAGTTTTGCATGCAATTGGTGTAGAAACTTTCTCCTCTTGGGTAATCATTTAGATCCGTCCCACTTAAGAAACAAAGTGACTTTCAAAGTATTAGCAGCAAGAAACTCTTCATATCAAACTCTCACAATAATTCGCAATTACCAACCCTTGCGGTTCCTGGTGTTTTGTGGTAATAGGAACGCCTTTGTAATTCAACTGAAACGCACCCTCGCGCGAGCTCGGCGATTCCTCGGATCTCAGGGGAACCTCGGCCTGGAGGGCATACGGTGTGATTAGGCGTCGAGAGTCTGGACCTAGTCGTACTTATACGGACTTTCGGAGTGGTCCGTCGCAATAAATGTGGCAAAGTCCCCCCCGGATTCAATCACGTTTGTTTTGGAGCTTGTTCAAATTGCCCGTCCCACCACCGGATTTTGAGGATAATTTCACGGCACGTACAGTGCCAATGGCCTTCTTTTCACCACTGGGGAGGTCCACGATGTCGAACATCTTCCAAACATTGAAATTTCGCGGCAAAGGCTGTGGCATTGGTTAGAGTTTGCTGCTCTTCGGGGTTGGGAGTCTAGGTCTCCTCATCGCCGAGGAGAGGGGTGGCGCCTTTGTGGAGGGACGCTCCTCCACTGTTGCATTTCCGCATACTCGTCCTACCGTCGTATATCGTCGTTTCGCCACCACCGTCGTCGCGTAGTTGTTCTTGTGGGTTCATGTGGAGCAGGCACGTATGGAGTTGGTTGTGTCCCTAAATTAGTGAAGGTGTGCCGCTTATTTGGGTCCATCGCGAATTTAAAGACTAGAAATATTGTATATAGAAATTAAGATTTTTCGAGAAATCATAAGAGAGTTACGAATAAGGAGAGATGGAAGAAGGTCAAAATGAGAGGAGTTGATTTTATGAGACCTAATCTTTTAATATGGCTAAACGGTCACATCGGCTAAATTTTTTCAACAATGACGGTTTCATATATAAAAAAAATGGGGCTTGAACCAACACGATCCACTAGCCATTGCTACCTATAGTTTTGAAATATATGTCATCAAACACACAAGTTACAATACTTTACAGTACAATCACAATGCGGTTACACTTCACCATATGGAGTTATAATTGGATTATCAAAACAATATCTTCATCCAAATACAAACCATAAAAATATATATATAAATACGAGTCATTTCCTTCCGCCAAGGAGTCCTATCATTAGTTATCAGATGAATACTCGTCCATTATTAATTAGATATATCTAACCCTAATACGAGCGATGTAGCCTTACACCAACCGTATCGATTGTACTAAAGATGACAAGGATGCCATATTAGACGCAACATCAATCCGCTAATGGCAGTTACCGTCTTAATCAACGAAAGAGCGCATATACGTCCTCCTATATTTCGAGCGGAAACCATGCCAAACGTGAGTCGATGGTAGCGATCACGGTATCATCAACATTAGAGGTGAAATTCCTCATCAAGGCTCAACTGGAATGGGTTCCGCTTGGTCGGGATCTCTACAGGAATTGTACACACAAGCTAGGGAGGGCTATAGCGAGAAGAAGAGCAACTCGTGGGCAAAGCTAAAAGAAAGGGATCACGCAATTGAATAAGAGGGCAACTTTGACATAATCCCAAAAGATATGGAGGGGTCCCCATGGGATTAATGTTAAGATCGCAGGGTCAAATTCATGTGGGTCAAATTCATGTGTTTACCCCACCAATTGGAAAACATGGGATGAGGGGGCTGTGCATTTTGAAAGTGATTAGTACAACGTGAAAATTAAGCCCTTATATGGATATATGGATAAGGCAGTTTGACCAATTGAGGTGAGGGGAGATGAAATTCATCATGGTTGTCTATAAGAAGTGACCCCTTCCGTTGAAAACTTGCTTATTGTGCATGAAAAATGAGTTTGATTCCTATGGCAAATCGTCCAAGCCGGCACTTATAAATTGATTGGACTAGACCAATATCCTTAAATAACCTTTTGGAAAACATCCCAAATTGTTTAATTGACCAGGTCGTCGATTCTGGATAAGTGATTAAAACATAAGATGTCGTTGATACATTTGATGGCACTGAAAATCGAATCGTGTCCTGCGCTCGATCCATAAATAAATTATATGAACCTTATAAATTCTAAGTAATCATGTATATACAGGTAGACAGACGTATCTCTTTTAAAGAGCCTATCAATTCGAAAGTGATTTTAATTGGGAGGCTATCGAGAACGATCGCCGGATGCATCATTTCTTCTTTCAAATTCAATGTCACATCCCTAAGTTGGGTGGTTGAGGGAGGTGGGACAGATGCAGTTGACCCATTTTTCTAAAATTGGAATGGCTTGCGTGGTCTAGCTTGCTCTAGTGGTTCACTCGGGATATAAGTTTCGTGACTTGCCCATGACTATACTCGCAACTATTTTTAGTCTCGGCAGAGCGTGACCCGAAAGCTGCATCCACCTGAGCTTTAATGGAACTTAATTAATTCTCCCCAAACCAATTTTCGTATCCATTGGACAGGCCACTGAGCCAAGAGATAGTGACGAGTTCATCTATCTTTATGTTTTGAGGGGGTGAAAAGCGCCTCCATTTCATTCAAATCTGTGCATGGTTTTGATTCGATAAGTTCTAGGGTTTTGGCCTCACCATCCACACGAATGTAACGTTTGATGATTTGGGTTTTGCAATTGATCGTTAGGACGTACATGTGATTGTGTGCACATTTCATCACATGAAATCCCCCAACGTTAGCGATTTTGCAGAAGGGTCATGTGGGATTCTGCACCAATCGAAGCAACAAGACCCCTCCACCATCTGTAATGATTGTGAACAGGAGAAACGATAAGAGGAAGAAGATGAAGAAGATGATGGAGGGAGGTGGTGGTCACTGGTCACGGTCACGGGAGGCAGAAATGGGGAGAACAAACTGGGCACCTCTGCAGTTGCGCTCGTCCCTCGTTTCCACATTACCCAAATCTGCATCTTTTACCACGATGTAATCAAGCTGCTAGGGTTTTTGGATTTGAGATAGGGTGCGTACCAGCTCGGCTTCATTCCTAATACGGCTCAACACATTGTAGCTATTGCTGATGCACATATAGGACATAGCACATTTGATTACCTAAACGATATCGGAGTCAGTTACCTAAATCTACCCGTGTGAGGATCGCGCAGCTCGAGGGTCGCGTGATTGCAGTGACAGTGACTGTTGATTGCACTGCCCAGCGAGCCGTGCCTCAACCTTGCATGCCTCGGCCCGCGCTGCGCTGTCACGACGGTAATAACATAGATGGCGGCGGCGGCATGATCAGGGGCGGCCGTGTTGGGGTCTATCCCACATCGGTTGTGGAAGGGGCTAATGGTCGATTTATAAGTGTGATGGAAAGTCTCGTCCTCTGAACTAGCTTTTGGGATGAGAGATGTCTAAAATCACCAACATTTATATCAAAATTGAGGTTATTAATAATTTTGGACCCAATAGTCACACCGGAGATACGAGTTATGTGAGAGGGTGAGATTGTTAGGGTTTATCTCACATCCGTTGTGTGAGGAAAAGTCTCACCCTTTGAACAGGCTCGTTGCTCTTTGACGTGACAATTGTCGTGGCATCTCTCTCTCCCCACAATGTCGTCCTATCATCTATATCTTTTCTTGTTCTTTCAATATCAAATTTTTGTGCGTCGACATCTAATTGAATTTGTAAATGACGAAAAGACT